CCATGTGCCCCCCAAAAAGGCAGCGAGGGGATCTTAGCTGTGGGGCTGATGGCACCCTTCGCCCCCGCAGGGCAGTGGGAGGCCACGCTGGAGTCCATGCTCTACCAGAAATACAGGCAAGCCTCCCCCCCTGGCGCCATGCCCTGGAGGAGGGGACCCTGCTGCGGGTGCCTGCCCGGGGTGGGGGGGGACCCCAGAGCTGAGGGGTGCGGGGTCTGCTCTGCCAGCAGGAAGGAGATGCTGGAGAAGATCTGTCCCCCCCCAGATGCCCACGGAGTCGGCCTCCACCACACACCGAGACTACCGTGCTGGGGGCTGCCAGTTCACACCACTGCCCACCACCCAGGTACAGCAGGGGACATCTCCCCCCCCCCCCCTTGCGGCAGCCCCCAGGGAGCCCGCAAGGCTCCCGTGTCCCCCCACCACGGGCATGCTGTCCCCCCTGCCCACTGTCAGATTGCTTCCACCTGCAGCCCCAGGAGCAGCCCTGCAGCTTCTGGCTGGAGCAAGCCCGCACCCTGCCTGTAAGCCCCCCAGCGCCCTGCCCTGCCGGCACCGGGGGGACTCGGCTGCTGACAGGGACCTCTCCACTTCCCTCCCCTCTAGGGTGTCACCAGCATCTGCAGCGAGGACAGTCCCTTTTGGAGGAACACAGCCTTCTCCACTCCCATCACCAAGAACCTAGAGCAGCCCCTGCCCTGTGCACCCCTAAGCAGCCGGCTCCGGCCCTGCAACCAATAAAGAACAGGGGGGCACAGGTGGTCCCAGTGTCCTTGCCGCCCCAGGGCTGTCCTCAGGCTGGGCATTTGGAGGGGGAGCACCGTGTCCCTGGCATCCCGGTCCCCGTGAGCCCATGCAGCGCAGGTGTGAGGACACCCTCCAGCCCCTCTGGAGTCACTGCTGCCCCAAAACATGCTATGGCCCCAAGCCTACCTCCTTGGGCACAGAGGGAGAGCCCCTGGCACAGCCCCATCCCCTGGGACGTGCCCTCTCCCGGCGCCCGCAGCGGGTGACACGCGGCCCCCGTCCCCAGGCACAGGTGGGTTCCAGTAAGAGGCGACAGCGGCGCGGCCAGAGCATGAGCTCAGAGGAACGCACTGCAGCCCTCACGCCAAAGCAAACCCCGCCGCGGCGGCCCTGCCTTCCCAGCACCG